TGCCTCGGATTTTTGGGCATTAATTTTAAGGCGCCACAATTTCGTGTAGTTTATGATCTCGTTTATATGTTGTTGAATTCTCTCTATTATTAAAGTAACTGATCTTGATGAGCTTAGGATTGCCGTGTCGTCTGCAAATATCAGCATGTCCGTTTTGGGGAAAACTGGAATATCATAAATATATAAGTTGAACAGTGTAGGTCCAAGTATAGATCCTTGAGGTACCCCTGCAGTAACCATTTTTGGATTTGAAAGTACATTACCAATTTTCACTTGAAAATTTCGATCACTGAGATATGATATGATAAATTTAATTATGTACTTTGGGAATTTTAAAATAATTAGTTTATAGATTAATCCTGTGCTCCAAATTGTGTCAAAAGCTTTCTCAATGTCAAGTAACACTAGTCCTGTATGATTACGTTTGTTAAAGTTAGTAATGGCTTTTTCTACCAGCACAGATAGTGGATGCATTGTAGAATGTCCTTTTTTAAACCCAAATTGAAAGTTTGGTATAATATTTAATTTTTCTATATGTTTGTTGACCCTGGTTTGTACGACCTTTTCTGCCACTTTACTCATTGTGTTGAGTAGTGCGATTGGACGATAGTTTGCTGGTATATTGTTTATTTTACCGGGTTTGTGTAATGGCATCATGATTGAACTCTTCCATTGAGCTGGAAAATAGCCCAAAATCAGTATTTGATTTATTACTCTTGTTAGAAGTATCAACGCTTTATGCGGCAAGTTTTTAATTATGATGTTTTGCAACCCATCGGGACCTGGAGCTTTATTGTTTTTGAGAGTTTTTAATGTGTCTATTATTTCCTTGACAGTAACAATTTTAGTCTTTGATCTACAGTGAGCAGTTTTAGAGATGAATGATTGTACTACATTTTCTACTTTCTGTGAAAATAAGGTGTTTTGACTGTCGGAATTTAATCGATAATTATTTTCAAATTGTTTAGCTAGTGCTTCGGCTTTCTGAATTTCTGTCAAGGCCATCCCCGTATCGCAAACTAGGGCAGGTATTTGTGGAAGTCGCTTTGTGATGCGCTTTATAGTTGGCCAAATATTATTCGGATATGTGTTAATTTTGTTCAATTTATCAGCCCAGCATTTGTTACGATATTCCCATATTTCTTCCTTGATTATTTTTGTTAGTTTATTTACATGGGATTTCAGGTGTTGATTACCGAAAACTTGCCAAAGTTTTTTGACTTGATTTTTGAATTTTATTTTATTTATTATATCTTGTGGTAAGCTGTCAGCAGTATATTGTTGTGGATTTCTAGAAGGAATAGTTAATTCAATAGCGTAATTTATTGTACTTGTTAAGTGTTCAATTGCTCTATCTAGATTTTCTTTTTCAATTATTTGTATTCTATGATCGATATTTAAGTTTATTAATTTTTTAAATAGTATCCAATTGGCTTCTGCGTAGTTTAAGTACTTTATATTGTCAGACTCATAGATGGTTAATTTTCTATTTATCTGTATGAATACTGGATTATGATCCGAGTTTAAATATGGCAGAGATGTCGGTTGAGTTGTTATATGTACATTTTTTGTTAAAGCCAGGTCAATAGTACTATTGTTATGATGCACACATTGCGAAAATCTAGTTGGAGTATCTGGGTAATGCAGCTGAACATTGTTCACTGTATTATTAATATATTTGTATAGTTTTTTACCACTGCTATTATTTCCTCTGCATTTCCACATTGCATGCTGAGCGTTGAAGTCACCAGCTATAAGCACTTTATTGCTAACATTAATGAGTGATTTGATGTCACGTAGTAATAATTTGTTGCATGGAACATAAATAGATATTATTGTCAGTTTAGAATTTTCAGTAAATATATTTATGGCAGTCGCTTCAGTGTACTTCAGTTCTGGTAAGTTGAGTTGCTCATGCTTAATGCAACGCCTGACAAGAATGGCTGTACCTCCCCATGAAGAGTTTTCTCTATCTGTTCTATACACTTTGTAATTTTTAATATAAAAAGTATCTTTCTTTTGTAAATGTGTCTCATTTAAAAGGACTATATCAATGTTCTTAGTTTCAAGTAATTCAATAAGTTCAGCTCGATTTTTCTTGATGCCATTTGCATTAAAGTAAATTACATTAATGTTATAGTTTGGTTCAAGGCCATAATTTTAATGAGTTAAGTATTAAATGATATTTTTCACTATAGGTCTTTGCTGTCTTGAGAGCTGTAGATAATGTGTATAATTCCTTAAATATTGTTGCCACTTCTGGATCTTCAAATGCTGATTTTATATGTTTCGCTGCATTTAAAATCCCTTCTGTCGTGCTAAAATCCGGTTCTGCCAAAGAGTTTACAGCTGGATTTTGGGGTCTGGATTTGCATTGTTCTTTTGCCTCTGAGATGACAGCAGAATATGTCCTCGACGCATAAGGTGAATTTGCAAATTTATTCTTCTTTTGCTCCTTGTACTTGAGCAAGTATTCACAACGCGAAAAGTTCGCAGGGTGTTTTTCTCTACAGTTGATGCACTCTGCTGGTTCATTGCTAGATTTTTTACACTGTCCTGGTAAGTGGTCTTCAGTACATTTTACGCATCTGTATTTCAAGTTACAGTTGTAAGAGGTGTGACCTACTGTTTGGCACTTTCTGCATTGTTTAACATCCGGTGGTTTATACTTCTCCCATTTAAAAAGATGGCCGTTGATGTTGTTCACCTTTTTTAGATTATTCATATCCTGACTGTTATCCAGTATTATTATGTAGATAGGTAGTTTGATTGTGTGTCCATCCGAATGTTTTTTCTTGAGTTGAATAACTTTTTTAACTAGTATGTTGTTTTCGATGAGATAGTCATGAACTTCCGCATCTGTAATGTGTGGGTTCAGTCCAGTAATAGTAATTTTTTTAGAGAAATTGTTACTGGTGGAGTAAGGAGTATAAAATTGAAGTTTTAATTCTTTAAGTTTGTTTTTAATAATTTCATGATCTTTTATATTGGTAGTATAAAGTTTATGTCTGTATGGATTAATGTATTCAAGAGTAAATGATATTTTAGTAGCGTCTTTTACGTACTTAATAGTTTTAAGATCAATTGTGCTTCTGATAATGATAGGTGGAATTTTTGTAGAAACATTTTTGATGGGAGCCTCTTCATTACTGTTATTATTGTTTGAATTTCTCCTTCGTTTTTTGTTTGTCACTGTTTGAAAATCGTCCATGTCCATGTCATCTCTGTCTGTTAAGGATTCGAAACTATTTGCACAAGAAATAGTACTTGTGGTTTCTTCCATTGTGTTTTGGGTAGGGTCTACATTATTTAAATTTATTTCTAAAGATTTCCTGGGAATATCCCTAGGTAAATCTTTGTTACCTTCTGTTCTTCCTGCAGCTGAATCCAGTATCGTAATTTGACCTTGGTATAAGTTTCTCAATTGCTGCTTTAACACTAAAGACTTTTTATCACCACAATCTTCGGTTTTCCAAAGATCCTTCTTCTTCTTTTTGCCTTTCCACTTCGACATCAGCCACAATCCGGGAACATTTCGAGCACTTCAAATATCTTCTGCGCCAATCTCGCCCAATTTTCTCTTCCTCCGGCGATTGCAGATGAACAACATACGGATATAGACATGGCACAGCTGTTATTACATTCTGGCCATTTTCTTAAATTAAAAAGAATTTTTATTGAAGAATTGGGAACATCGCTATTGTGCGATGTATCTCAACCAATCATTCGGCCGGTGATACCAAGAAGATTTCGCCGTGCTATATTCAATAGCCTACATGGTTTGTCGCATCCTGGAGCAAATGCTACAATTAGATTGATAACGCAACATTATGTATGGCCTTCCATTAAGAAGGATTGTCGACAATGGGCTTGCAGCTGCCTAGATTGTCAACGCTCAAAAATTAGTCGCTATAGAAAACCAGGAAGCAGCTACAGTAGCAAGAGCATTCTTTTCTAACTGGATAGCAAGATTCGGAGCTCCCTTAAGAGTTACATCAGATCAGGGTAGACAGTTTGAATCGTGTTTATTTGAACAGCTCAACCGATTAATGGGAACTACACATTTCAGGACCACTGCTTATCACCCGGCTTCTAACGGTATGGTTTAAAGATTTCATAGACAATTAAAAGCCGCGATAAGATGTCATAATACTGAGCGTTGGACTGAGATATTACCGACTGTTATGCTTGGTATTCGATCAGCATGGAAAGAAGATCTTCAAGCGACTGTCGCTGAGATGTTATATGGCGAGACTTTAAGATTACCGGGTGCCATGCTGGTACCAACCCAAGAGACCAGTCATAGTGAGACCGATTTTGTAAAAAATTTTAGGAAGCAGATGAAAATGGTTAGACCTGTGACTGGCACAAGGCATGGAGTAAAACCAACCTTTAGGTTCGAGGAGATAGAAAATGCTAAATATGTATTCCTTCGAAATGATGGACCAAAAAGACCTCTGCAGGACCCTTATGAAGGCCCATTTGAAGTTTTATCACGATCTTCAAAAACTTTCAATTTAATGATACATGGTAAAAATGTCACCGTTTCAGTAGATCGGATTAAACCAGCCTACGAAATAGCGGTGAAAACAAATGATTGATATGTTTACAATCACCCACGAATGGTTCCTTCGTGACAACGTCACTGGGAGGGGGAATATGTGGGAGATTGGCAGGTCGCGTCAATTTTAGTAAGCGAGAGAAAAAATAATAATTGACATTGAGTTTTTTTTTTGGATCATTTGTTTTTGAGAATGTAAAGTTTTGGTTCAGATAAATTTATGAAATTTATCATGATATAAAAAATAAATATTTTATAATCGGCAAATTGTTTGATTTCCGATATATATATATATATATATATATATATATATATATATATATAAATATTCTCGGAATCTTTCAAGTGAAATCTGATATTCAAAACATAAATACTAAAACCCTTAATCTTTTTCACAATTAATATAGTTTATACACATCAGCTATGTAATTATACTTACACAGGTATTGGCACAAAAGTTTCCGTAGGAACGTAGCCTGCTAATATCGCACCATCCATCGTTACCGTGTGCGGATCGGGAGTAAACGAACTTTTTGCGCTGTGCTTTCGTGAAATATTTTCGGACAATTTGGCAGATTTATTTTCCAATTCATCTAACTTAAATTCTCTAGATTCTCGAATATTTTCCTAAAAGTTATAAAAATACGATATATATATATATATATATATATATATATATATATATATATACATATATACAAAAATAAGTCGGGTTTTCCTTCCTGACGATATAACTCCAGAACGCACGAACCGATTTCGACAATTTTGCATTTGTTGGAAAGGTCTCGGGTTCCGCTAATTTTCTTAGCTAAATTTATAGCTAAGAAAATTAGTGGTGCATGGCATCGTGCATCAATGCAAATTGCTGGAATTTCACTCCGTAATTGAAAATTCGAGTAATGAAAATAATCAACATTAGAAACAAAAAACATAAGAATTTTGTGGGATAAAAACATATTTTTCGTTGTGTGGTTTAACGATAAATTAGCAGGCCAAGTAGGTTTTTCGGGCAGGTATTTAAAGTTTCATTCTTATCACCCCTCTAGCATGAAAATAGGTACAATAATTAATTTAGTTGACCACACCATACTTTTATCTGACAAACAATTTTGGTCTGCTAATTTATCGTTAATCCACACAACACTCATCAATAACTCTCATCCTTTTAACCTCATAAACTCTGTCACAAATAATAGACTCAAAGTTCTTAATAATAACAATAATACCTCTTCTTCTCCAACCAAAATATCCAAAGGCAATAACATTATTAACAATGTTTGACTCCCGTTTATTAAAGAACTCTTTCCCATTTGAAAAAACTGTTCCACAAGGTCGTCTTAAGATTAATTTGTAACATAGACTTAACCCTTAGCTCTCTTTTTCCAACCTCAAATCACCCACTAATTTAGAACGCACATCAAATATTGTTTATAAATTAGAAGGCAATGATTGTGATTCCATTTACATAGGTGAAACTAGACAGAATTTAATAAAAAGACTGATAACAAATCAAAAAATGCGCGACAAAATCAAACCATAATTACAGAACATATTGAAAATTTTAAACATTCTTTTAACTTTTACAACGCTAGTATACTTTATCACGAACGGAACATTCTTCAGAGAAGATTTGCCGAATTTTGTTTAATCAATATTAATGAATCTTGTATTAATAAAAGGCTTGATGCCTCCTTACTCTGTAAAAATTATCAAGTGATACTCAATAGTACTTCCAAATTTGTTTCTTCTTAACTAGTTTAATTCTGAACCTGTTAACCTACCCTTACGCGGTACGATCCCGAACTTTGAATCTTAGCCTTATTCACCCATAATTCGAATCACTGATTGTAAAAAACCCGCCGACTATCCTTCAAACGGTCTCTTCAAATAATTTTTAAGCCCATGTGGCATTCTCGCCTCGGAGTCATACGCATTAACTACTATTTTAGTGCAAAATATATTATATTTCACAAATACCTTGCTATGCTCTCTTCAACAAAAACAAAAAAACAAGTTATTGTATATATGATAGTGCAAAATTATGTGCCTTGCGCTAGTTACTGATGTAAGACCATATTTATATAAGTTACTTTTGTTGTTTATATATGTGTATGTATATATATATATATATATATATATATATATATATATATAATAAGTGTGTGTTATATATGTTGAAATATATGAGTGAGTTTTTGAGGGCAATACATCCAACAAAGAATAGGTACAGATTTATAAAATAATCTTTAATTCCAAACATTCCGACATTCAATTTAACGACATCATCAGTGGATCTAAAAACAGTATAAAAATTGATATAACTATTAATTATAAAATATGTGGATTGGTATAGAAACTATAGATATAAGAGAAAATTTAACAGAACAGCAACACTTAACAACAAACAGAATATAAAAGATAGAAAAGGTAATAGAAACTAGATATTAAATAGATAAAAAAGAAAAAAGAAAAAAGAAAAAAGAGTATATATATACATATATATATATATATATATATATATATATATATATATATATATATATATATATATATATATATATATATATATATATATATATATATATATATATATATCCCGTCGGGAGAAACCAAACTCCTACCGGGCGCGTCCCAAGATGCGAATAGGGGGTATCCTAACCGATACCCCCTCGCGGACCAAATATGGCATCGGAGCTGAGGAGTAATAGCCACCGTCCGTGTATCGCGGAAAAAATCAAAAACTCCCTTTTGGTTGGTCACACCATTTGACCTAGGGTCACGTACGGAAGTGGATGAGGGGACACTGCTCGAAAGAGATGTGTGGATGATCCATATAGCGCACCGTACGTGGAAACTCCCGGCATCAACGTGCCGCACCCACGGGAGCAAGAAGATGCCAATGAAGGAAGAAGGTGCACGGCCAGAGCGGATATTTTTTTCCCGCTTCAATGGTCACAAGCTCTTACAGTAATGGAGGTAGCTGTAGAGGTGATCACCCCTCCACTTTTCAAGGCACCGCCTTCGGAGACGACCTTTTGCTCTGGAGGACTATTTAAATAGCATGGATAATTATGAAAACCCCAAAAAAAAACAAGAGAAAGGTCACGTAATTATGGACGTCGAGCACGATGCGGCAAAAGCCGCTATATTAAAAGGAGGCAAGAAGATTCCCGGTAATCTTCACAACTCTGCACCATCGACTAGATGTCGTCAAACGCCGATAGAGAGACTTGGCTCCAAAATTGACGAGCTAGCGGAGTATGTGAAAGATAGGAACAATGTTCACAGCAGAATAAAGGAGCTAATTGTGTCGATTGATACAGCATATAGCCTGGCATTGAAAGAATATACGGCAACCCCCAAAGCTCTCGCAATGACAGTGCAAACTACACAGACCTCTCCGGAGGTCTACTATTAAACAGGGTGTAACTCAGACGCCAACCTCTAAGACCCAGGAGCAAAACACAAACAAAAGGTTGCTATCTTCACTTAGCCCCACCTCTGACGCGGAAACACATCTGCCTAAAAATCGGCTGTAGAAAATAACTGAACGAAAGTGGCTCGACGAAGTTCGAAGAAGAAACGAGCATGGGATCCGAAAGAAACCTTGGAGGAAACCGAGAAACTGGAAATCGGAAAAATCGAAACAAATGATAGTACTAAGCACAGAAACAACCATCATAGGACAACTCGGAAGAAACACAGAACCAAGGCTGTTCTGGTTCAACCAGCTGAAGAACGAACGTACGCTGACATCCTTAAAGAGATCAGGGAAAAAGTAAACCCGACAAACACTGGCGTGGATATAAAGTCCATCAAACAGACAAAAAATGGGGGTGTATTACTGGAAATGAGTCCCAAGTCCGAAGATAGTGCAGCCTTTGCAGTTGCGATAAGGGCAGCAACTGAAAACATAGAAACCGTGAAATCACTGACGCCGCTGACGCCGATAGAGATTCTTGACTTTGATGGTGTCTCTACCGAAAATGACGTTTGCAAAGCACTCATTCGGGACTTTACGAGAAAACTGGAAATACGACGAGTGAACTTGACCAAAGTCACATCAAGAGGACAACGAGCGGCCTTTTATGAGATAGACGAGGCTTATGCAATCATAGCCCTAAATGGGGCCCGCATGGTGGCCCATGGTGGGTTAAAGTGGCCCGCTGCTTTAGATGCCTCGGTTTCGGACACCAAACGCATAAATGCGGGAGACCAGACAGAAGCTAGTATTGCTACAAATGCGGCGGGGAAAATCACAAGTCTGTAGACTGCACGGAAAAACCAAAATGCTTATTATGTACAGTAGACAAAGAAAACCGAAACAGCGGGAGCCATGTCGCCGAATCCGGTACATGTAAAGCATTCCGTGTAGCACTTGCCGAAGCCACGAAAGAACAGAAATGACGCGATTTCTACAAGGTAATCTGAATAGATGTGCCTTGGCGCAGAATCTACTTCGCCAACGTATCTTTGAAGATAAGATCGATATCTGCCTTATCTGCGAGCAATATATGAATATTCAGAATAAATCATGTTTCGCAGATAAATCTGGCACGGCAGCAATATGGATAAAATAAATCACAAACTCAAAGAAGATCACCGTCAATGACAACGGAAGCGGCGAGGGTTTCGTCTGGATCAAGACTCCCACGACTGTGTGGGCGTCTACCTTTCACCAAATGAAGAGATTAGCGTATTTCGCCAGAAAATGGCAAGCATAGAAGACACTCTCGGCAAATTTGACGGAGAAGTCATTGTAGCTGGTGATTTCAACGCAAAATCGGCTGAATGGGGCGCCGAATACTCGGACACTAGAGGAAATGACGTGGCAGACTTTGCTGCAAGATTGGACCTCACAGTGTTAAATACTTGGAGTATCACAACCTTTAGAAGACCAGGATATCAGGAATCTATTCTCGACATTACGTTTGCCACTCCAAGGACAGCGAACATAATTGGAGACTGGACTGTATCTGAATAGTATAGTGGCAGTGATCATCAACATGTGACATTTAGTATTGGATCCGGTCCGACTCGACCAAGCAACTTTTGCCAACGAAGGTGGAATGCCAAGAAGCTTGACCAGGAAGCGTTGCGAGTAGCCCTCGAGCAAGACGCATCTACTCTTCAAGCTGATCCAAAACTAAATACCCGCAGAGAGACGGAAGAAACGGTTCTTAAAATTATGAACGCTATTGTCACCTCATGTAACGCCTCTATGCCACGACCAAAAAATCAGGGTGTGCACAGTACAGCATATTCATGGTCATCAGAGATAGCAGAACTACGGAAAAGAAGCCATGCATTACGTCGCCACGCCACAAGAGCTGCAAACAATTTTTTTTTTGTAGATGTTTGATTCGTAATTAAACATCTACAAAAAACAAATTGTTTTTTATTATTGGATTAACTGTTCGGAAAAGAAACAATCAATATATATATATATATATATATATATATATATATATATATATATATATATGTGTGTGTGTATTAGAGATGGGCTTATCATATCCGAAGCCGGATCGACTCGGATTTAACTCCGCTTCAGGGAGGAGTTATATCCGCTTAACAACTCCACGACTCCGACAACTTTGAAACCGAAATACTCGACACAAATACGT